AGGGCCAGGGACAAACCACAACCGAAGTACGTGCCCTTAGTGGGAACCGAACCCAGGTCTCTCTGGACCGCAGGCCAACGCTCTAACCACTGAGCCAAACCGGCCAGGGCAGGACTTTTTTCTTTAAATCACCCAAGACAAACAAAAGGTTGTAAGGAAAAAAGGTAAAGTAATCACAGTTGACCAAATATAACTAGCAGCTGTGAATGGCATACATAAGTATAATATAAACTAAATGTTCTAATCAAAATGAAAACGTACTGTATTTGGTGGATGACGAGATGGCAGCTGCAAAGAGAGCTGAAATTTCTCCATGATGTGAAATAAATTCTCATAGTGACAGAAAACTAAGATTTAGCAATACATGCATAGTATTTAGAGATACAGCAATAGATACAAAAGAATCAATAAAAACAGGTGACAGTGTTTGCCTCTGTGGGAAAATGGCAGAAGGGGTAAGGAATTGCCTTTTTCCAATATATTTTATAAACCTAGTCAACTCTCTGTATAAATGACTGGCAGTAAACAAAACTTAGAATGAGAGGAGATATCACAGAGCACATTTCTCATCTTGCTTTTGCCTTGGGCCCTCTCTACAGCACTAAAGCTTTATCAAGCAAATTAAAAATAAGAAAGTTTCCATGTTCCTTTACTAACACAATCATTAAGTAATAATGTCTAGTGAATGTTTATAAACTTGTAAATAGGTTGAAACAGCAAAACAAATATTATGGGAGCTATTCAAAACTACAGGTTCACCAAGTAAGTTTACCAAAGTTACAATGTATCAGATGACATGCATCAGTTTCATCTACAAATGAAACTGTCTTCAGGGTTAAAGCAGCTGCTATTTCAGGAGCTTGGTTCCTAAATGATGGTACCAGAGAAAAACTTAACACCAGTCTTTTATCCATAGCTTCGAAACTAAATATACCACACTGAATAAAAATATTTTCTGGAATATCAATGGGAGAACAGTGAATGTCGTAGCATGCTAAAAGCACATGTCTATGAAGTAAGGCACAGGAGTTACAGGGGTCTGTTTATACTTTATTTCATTGCCAAGCACACTTCCCAAATATCATACAACTATATGGCATTTCACAATAGATAGCTACAAATTGTGTACGTTCTGCACATATCATGTACATAACTGTGAAAATAATAGATTAAACAATGTAAAGTGGCCAAAAACTGCACTAACTGAAGTTCACAGCTCAACTATGCTGAGACCCTGTGTGGGGGGTGGAAACCCTCTAACACGATGATGACTTGGTTGAATATCTCTGCTTTATAAGCTGCCACATTATTATTTTAGCCACCAGGTGAAAAGACTAAAATAACGCCCAGCTGGTGTGACTCAGTGGTTGAGTGTTGACCCATGCACCAAGAGGTCACCAGTATGATTCCCGGTCAGGACACATGCCCAGGTTGTGGGCCCGATCCCCAGTGCGGGGCATGCAGGAGGCAGCCAATCAGTGTTCTCTCTCATCAATGTTTCTCTCCCTCTCTCCTTCTCCCTTCCTCTCTCCTCTCTCTAAAATCAATAAAGGAAAAAAAATAAGACTAAAATAACTTTTAACACATGGCCCAAACACGTAATTCCAGCTCCGCCAAAGTGAAGCTGATGAATGTATGTCTCTTTTTCCCAACTGTGAAATGAACAAAGAAAACTTCTGCTCAAATGAGAATATTGTTATCATTTAAGTAATTTAGCTACTATTAAGGCATTCTTTTTCATCATATTATTTCTCAGAGTTACAATTAATCTTCTCAAATATAGCACTCAATGAACAAACTCGTGAGAGGTCAGCATTTTTGTTCCAGGACTAAGTCCAAGTTTTAGAAAGCACTAAGAAAATTCTACAATATTTTATTAGGGCAATGGAATCCTGCTAAGCTGAAAAATCTGCTACGCTCACATAATAACAAAAAAGTCTATAACGATGTAACAGAAGTACAGAATGTTCGAGTATTCCAGTCAGCCGCTCAGAGCCACAATAGCAGACACTGACCTTCCCCAACAATGGCAGGATTCTTTAAGTCTCATTCCATTTGGACACATCCCCAACAAGATAAAGGTGAGCCAGAGCCTCTGACCCTCACAGTGCTAGATCTTAGGTAAGTCATGTAATAAATCCAAATACATTTGAAGCTTCAGGTTCTTTCACTAGAGCAAAGTTTTTAAAGAACTACTAGCCTCACTCTCCAAGCATTGTGTATTCTAGAATTTTACAATAATGACTGTGAAGTATGTGGGTCCATTTCTGCTAGGACGACCTTCTCCATTTGGTTCAGAATTTTTTTTTTTTTTTTATCCTCATCCGAGGATATTTTTCCATTTTTTGTACAGATAGAGTGGGAGGGAGAGAGAGGAAGGGAGAGAGAGAGAGAAACATCGACGTGAAGGGACACATCGAGTGGCTGCCACCCGCACGACCAACCAGGGCCGGGGACAAACTGCAACCGAAATACGTGCCCTTAGCGGGAACCGAACCCGGGTCTCTCCGGACCGCAGGCCGACGCTCTAACCGCTGAGCCAAACTGGCCAGGGCTGGTTCAGAATTTTTTGGCAAGATTGTAGTAACATGAAACTCCCATTCCTATTGACAGAGGCCCAGCTCTTCTGTAGCTTTTTACTTATTTAAGTATTTGGCCCTGGCTGGTGTAGCTCAGTTGGTTGGAGCGTCATCCTGTGCACCAGAAGGTTTTGGGTCCGATTGCCAGTCAGAATACATTTCGGGGTTACGGATTTGACCCCTGGTTGGGGCGTGTACAGGAGGCAGCCGATCAGTGTTTCTTCTCACCTAAATATTCTCTCTCCCTCTCTCTCTCTCTGAAATTAAAAAAAAAATTTTTAAGTATTTGTTAGTAGAAAGAACACATGACATACATGCCTGGGAGTCTGAAAGAAATGGTTCTCACCCCAGTTCTGGCATTAACTACCTCTGGGACCTTACCTAAAATACCCTCTGTATTAAGGATCCCCCAGGCCACTCCCACATTTAACAACTTGCTGAGACAGTTCACAGGGCTCACCATATAGTCCTACTTACAGCTATGACTGTTACAGGACAATTATAGTTAAAGAACACAAAGTAAAACCAGCAAAGGGAAAAGGTGTGTGGGGTGAAGACCAGGGACCTAGGCACAAGCTTCCTCAAGTCCCCACTGGTGAAGTAACACAGGACATGGTTAATTCCCCCAGCTACAGGTCGGGACAACATGTGAAATGCGGTCTGCTCATTACAGTCTCAGTGTCTGGGGGTTTTATTAGAGCTGGTCACATAGACACCCTCTGACTAGCATTTGTCAAAATGTCAGACTTCCAGAAGGCAAGCAGGTATTCGGAGTCACACCTGCACAGTGGAGCACAGTGAGCTACTCTCATCCCACTCTTTGGGAATACTGGTTTCCCTCCCCAAATTCAAGTTTCCAAACACCAGCCCAGGGCCAACTCTGCAAGCAGGTGCTTCCACAGACAGCAGCTCAGGCCTGCTATGTTGACTCCTTTCTACACCCACCTCTCTAGATCTGCTTCGCCCTGTCATTTCCCCGGACCTATGAGCTCACCACAGCAACCTTCGAACACTGCACAGGAATCCCACTATGTAAGATGGTCTGTTCATGGCCTAGGGTCACTACGGGCTGCACAGCATGGTGAGGCCATCCTTGGAGCAAGAAAGAGTCTCACTGCTTAAGGCCTGTTTTCCCAACAATGATCGTGACATCATCAAACAGCCCTCTCCTTCCAGTTCCTGCTCTCCCTGTTTATCTGTGTCCTCCAGTTTTGCCCAAGAGATTGTTTCGTGTAGTTTTGTCTTTAAGTTTATCTCTCACCATAAGTGTTCTCACCATCCATTCAAAGTCAAGACTGAAGTTAATAAAATAGTCATAAAAACTCTATTCTCATAGATGTCCTTTTGTAATACATATGAAGAGTAGTTTTATTCCCATCTCATTATCTTGTGCACAGCACAGGGACCACGGTGAGAGCAACACTGGGGTCAGACATGACTCAGTAAGAAGTATAGTCCACTCAGCTGCTCATGGAAACCCTACCTCAGGGGCCCACTTCTGTCATATCCAAGTACGGGACATCAAGACATAATGACCCTGTATATTTCAATATTCCACCCCACATCCAGATGCTCTATAAACTCTTTTGTGAAATAGGATAAAGAAAATTGAAAGGCAAGTCAGAGAACAGGACTTCAATCTTAGCCCTGACTCTTATTAGCTGTGTGGTCTCTCAAGTCACTCAAGTCTCTGGTCCTCTACTGTTTCCATGGTCACAATGACAGGCTCTGACACGCTGCTCTGAGTCCAGTCCATGTCTAACTTCCCAGGGTTTTCATATTACTTTCCCCTTAAAGGAATGGGACGGAGCAAAGGGTTTAAAATTCATTTGATACAAGGTTTCTACATCACAGTTCAAATCTGGAATCCAATTATTCATTATTTTTTTAAATTCTGACCCAACAGAGACATCCGGGCACAAGTGTCCTTGATCTGATAAAAAGCTGATCCCCATGCATTGACTTTGACATGGTGAGGCTGACATTACTGAACAGAATACTACCATATCGAAGATGGTTTCCAAACCCAACTTGTTCTTAGAAATGCTCTATCTATTCATTCAAACAAATATATATTCTCAGCACAAACTATAACTAGGTGCTATGTGTATACCATACATAGAATCATAGGAACCAAAAGAATGCTGAATTTTCAAAATCAATCAATTTCAAATATGCTTCTAATATCAGGACATGGCACAGGACTTGGCTAGATGTCTGGGTGAGAGAGTCTTACTTTTGCGGAGTTGGACTGGAAAGGAACCCCTGAACAATGATCAGCACAAGATCTCCAACCACGAACCCACAAACCATACATTTCTTTGAATAAAATTATTGCAACAAAATTAGTAGTGCAAACCAAATGTTAACTGAAAAAGAGAAGGGGGAAAGAGCAGAAGAAGGGAAAAAGTCTGAACTCACCGAGACTGTGGCAATCCTTTTTTACTGAGATCTGCCCTCACACGTTCTCCTACATGTCTGTAAATTTCCACTAAGCTGTTTATTGCTGCATCTCGAACCTAGATGTAAAAGAAGAGATCTTACAGGTGCTCGGTGTCACCCCACAGCATTCCTCCTGGGACACAAGAGGCTCCACACCACCCCAAGTTCATCACCAGTTTACCAATGCAACTGTGAGTACAATCCTTTTTAGAAATTTATTAACAGATTAAGCCATGGTTAACAGTTTTGACTCTGCAGGTACAATTTCAAAGAGCTGAAAAAAGTTAGGTCCCATCGCAAATACATATTCAAGTCCATATCCCTCAGTTTTTTGTGTGTGGTTTTTTTTTTCATTCTTTATGATGATGTCAGGAAACTAGAATTTTCAGGGCATCTTTCCAAATTAGAAAACACCAGAAATAAATAAATTATACTAAAAATAAAACACCATGTAAGATATTCTGGATTGGGATCAAACCCTTAGTAAGCAAGAAAAATGGGTAGTACAGGCCACACAGAGCCCTGTATTCAAGAAGCTCATAAAAATTAAAAGTGGGGGAAAAAACTAATAGTGCTAGAGGGGAAATGGGGAAAGGTCCATATAGTCTACATGTAGTATAGGACAGGATATAATAAAATACATTTCATACAAAAGTACAAAGAGCTCATAGTTTAAAGGAGGGAACAAGCATACTACGGGATACCAAGAAAAGTTTTATTGAAAAGGAAGGAACCACTTAAAATGTGCTTAGAAGGAGTGCATTTTACCAGATAAAGATGGAATGAGACAGATTCCAAATGAGGCACAGACTGTACAAAGGCATGAAAGCTGCCAGTGTGGCTCAGTGGATTGAGTGCCGTCCCATGAACTGAGAGGTATCAGTTCGATTCCCAGTCAGGGCACATGCCCGGGTTTCAGGCTCAATCCCTTGGGGCGGGGGGAGGGGGGATGCAGGAGGCAGCCAATCAATGTTTCTTTCTCTCCCCTCCTCTCTCTCTTAAAAACAAACAAACAAACAACAAAACAATAAAAGCATATTTAAAACCAAAAGCAAAACAAACACGAGAGCAGATGTGACCGTTAAGTCTGGAGAAATCCCTGCTCCACTAGCATACCCTAGAGCCCCCTTCCTCTTTATGCAGGACGACACATTCTCCCCACTGATCTACCAATTTTGAGTTGGGATTCCAGTTACTTGAAGCCAAAAGCATCCCAAGCACACATCCATATATCTATCTGTGGGCACTCTGAGAAGCTTCTGAGAGGCTGGCCGGCTCTGAGTCACACTGCACTTAGAACAATATTCAAAGGAACTCGAATCCTCTAAGGCAGGAGTGTCAGCACAGTTCACACTCGGTGTCAGCGGCCGCCTGCAGAGCCAGGGCGACTCCCCGCACTGAGCCAAAGGCTAACACAACATCTGGCACCTGACAAGACACAACTGTCCTCTCTCGTCTGAAACGACATAAACAGCTAAGAAAGGCAAGTCATTCAAATAGTTGTGGGGTCTCTACTCAATCCAAAAACTGTTGAAAGGCAGTCTTGAGACGATAATGAGGAGCAAGTTACAGTCCTGACCCTCTGGGGCCAGTCACTAGCAAGAAAGACTAATGACCAGGTTAAAAGCAGGAGCACAAGCAACACATGCACCCAGGAAAAGGGCTGTTTAAGCAGGTCAGAGAAGCGGGTGGGAAGCCTCCTGGCAGGAGGGGTCCTGGGAGATGTGGCCTGTGTCTCTGTGCTACATATGTATATGTGCTGATGAAACGCTCCTAAGGCAGATGTGAATAACGATCATCTTCAGAGGACTCGGTCTGGAACGTCCTGGCTGACTCTATCTACCACATCTTGCTGACAGCTGCCCAGAGAGCACCAACCTCATTCTACCCCCAGTGTTCATCTCCCACAGGCCCGTGCGACTATTCACAGCACTCGTGTGGCCAAGTAAGCAACTGCACAAGGAACAAGTAAGTTTAACTAGCCAGGCTGGCACTTCTGCTCCAGTAAAGGACACCATGTGGCAGCAGCAATGTCCTCAAAGTGTAACCTCTATAAAAGACTTTTCCCACAGAAGACAAAAATGGAGATAACATCCAAAAGGGGAAGGGTGCAAAATAACTCATTTGGTAATTTAGAATGTTTAAGTCGTTTATTTTTAAATTAATGTTGAACATAAAGTATGGTTCCATAAATAAAAATATCTAGAAATTATATTTCCAATGTTATGTATTTTCAAGGAAGGCTGGATAAGAGGATGAGTGGGAAGAAGAAGGTGCCAGCAGGAAGACCAAGGAGCCTGAGAGGCCAGGGACAGAATGAAAAGCAGCAGACAGAGCAGCAGAGAGAAGGCGCGAAAATGCAACTAGGAGTAAGAGCGCAGATAAAAAAGAAAAGATAAGACATGAACAGGAGGTGTCCCAGAGCTGGTGAAAGCAGGAGAGAGTACAACACAGCCTCTCTGGAAGTCACTTCATAAAGGAAGACCTGTTTGGCCCTAGCTGGGAAGCTCCATTGGTTAGTGTCATCCCCATACACCAAGGTTGCAAGTTCAATCCCCTGGTCAGGGCACATAAAAGAATCAAACAATGAATGCATAAATACGTGGAATAATAAATCGATGTCTCTCTCCTTTCCTTTCTAAAATCAATCAATAAATAAAATGAAGGCCTTTTTACTGTACAAATATTTCTTTGGTAAATTTTTGTTCCTATTTTCAGTCCTTCTACCTAATGAAGTGTTTTTCTTAACAGTATGTATGAGCTGATGTCATACAAACGCCTCAGCGCTGAACAGAACCAGCCCAGGTGAGAACTGGCTGCTCTGGAGCCCAGACCTGGAAAACTGCGGGAGCAGCTGGGCACCTGTCACAGGTTACTGACTCCTCTCCCACCCTTCACACTCAGCAAGTACTGCTGTGTTTTCATTTGTTTTATGCGTGTGTTTAATTTAGGTAAAATTTAATAAACTATCTACAGTTCTTAAAGGTTCAAGGAGTTTCCACCGGGTGTACACATCTGTATGGCCACCAACCAAAGCAAAACACACTATTTCCATCGCCTCAGAAAAGTTCCCTCAGCCTTTTCCAGTCCATCTCCCCCACCCCACAGGCAAGCACTGTTTGACTTCAATCAGCAGTGACCACTCTCCCCTGCGCCCACCCTCTTTTGGGTGCAGAGGTGGTGGCCAGAGTGATATGGTCCTGGAGGCTGGTCTGGGTGACATCCTTCATAAGCAAATGAAGACTCAGCCCCATGTAGAGAAGAGGACAGAGTGGCCACCACATTTACCGGTGATATCTTATAAATGCTGAAGGGCATTAATGCTAATTATTTCAAACAATAATCAAAGTTCTATAAAGATGAATAAATTCCCACCTGTCTGTCAGGTGTACACAGAACACCAACATACATCTTAACTGTCTAAAACCAATGATCACTCCTCATTTAAACACACTCACCTGGCTGTTTGGATCTCCAAGTAAATTACATATATGTGGCACAATCTTGCTTAGTGTCAAAGTATGGGCTCCAGAGCTGAAAGCAAAAGGAGTATTTTATTACTGGTGAAAACAAAGAGGAAACAGAAGCCTCTCTGGCCACACTCACCCTTCCTCTGTCCCTGGCCCAACTGCCACCTCACACCCAGGCTTTCGTCTTCCCATTGTCCCCATCTCTTTCCCATATAGCTCCAAAATAAGTGTGCTATGGCAATCCCTTTGCACAGAGTTCAAACCATTAGCGCTTCTCACCGACATGTCCTCCCCCTGGCACTCAGGTTCTCTCCAATCTGGCCCCAATCTTTAAGGCCAAGCCAGAGCCCAGCCTTTCCCAGTCTTGCTTGCCTCCCACATGGCTGTCTCTGCATTATTATGTCATGTAATAGTTCCTATTTTGGCCAGCTAAGAAGACACAACTAAACTGGGAGTCCGTGAAGGTCCTCGCTGAATTCTCTATCTGTGCACAGCTCGATGCTACGACTGACATTCAGGTAGTAGAAGCTGAATAAAAAGACTGATAAAGTGGTTGCAGAGGATTCCAACTAAACACCACCTGCTGGAGAACACTGATTTACAACATTCACCATCACAAACACTGTCACTAATACCCTTGTGAAGGCAACTCTCTGGCAATCTGGTTTCTTCCTTAGAAACATTTTAAAACTTCCAATACATATGACCAAATTTAATGGCACTGAAAAGGCTAACATGTTAGGAGGGGTAAATTTTACACGGTGACATAAACATTATAATCCCAATTTTGTTTTTAAAAGTAGTCTAACTTTACAGCCTTGGAATAAAATGCACCACAGTTAACAGTGATTATCTGAAGGTGCTATAATTATAGGTAATCATAATTTTCTTCTTTATGTACACTTTCTATAATGCAACTAAAACAGTGCTTTGTAATTTTTAATTTTAAAAAGGACTCTCCTACAAATAAGCACATGAAAAATATTCAGCATCAACAGTCCCTAAGAAAATACAAATTCAAACCTCAATGAGATATCATTACACACATATCAAAATGCCTAAAATTAAAAACAGTAATAACATTCAATGCTAGTAGGGATATAAAAAAATTGATTCCTTCATACAATGCTGATGAGAATATAAAACGGCATAGACAACTCAGGAAAATAGTTTGGCGGTTTCATTTTAAAACTAAAAGTTTTGGCTAAGGTTGAACATAGAAATCTGTTCTTCTCAGTTTAACACCAAATATGTCCTCTATCCAAGGACAGCATATTAAATAAATTTTGGAGGCAGAGAGATAGACTAGGAGTCCACTCCATCCATACCAGGCATCGACCCAGTATTGGAGTACCTCCAGGAACTGGTGCACCCCTCAGGTACAAAAATTGGCTGTACAAAGGATAGAAAGTTACTACAAAAAAAACAAAAACCTAAAAATGAATATACCAAATGAACAGCCATTGCACTCTTGAGCACTGACCCAAGAGAAATGAAAGCTGATGCTGAAACAAACTTGTACATGTGTTTAAAGCAATTTTATTTATAATAGCCAAAAACTGGAAATGATTAAAATGTCCTTTGACAAGTGAATGGTTAAACAAAGTCTGATACGTCTATGCCATGGAATTCTACTAAGCAATAAGAAATGAATTATTGTTTAAGTAACAACACATACGTAACCTCAAGAGAAGTATGTGGAATGAAAAAAGCCAATCTCAAAGGTTTTTTGAGTCATACAACGTAAATGACTCCATTTACATAACATGCTTGAAATAAAGCCACAGAACGGGAGAACAGACTATCAGTTGCCAGAGGTTAGGGAATGACTACAAAGGGGCAGCAAGGGAGCCTGGGTGATGCACAGGTACCTTGACAGTACGGTAGTCACATGGAACTACACACGACAGAACTGTGCAGAACTGCACACAGGTGTGTGACCAGAGCAATGTGAATAAGCTCTGTGGTTGTATCAACTTCCTGGTGTTGCCATTGAATAGCCAAGATGATAACACTGGGGGATTGTGGGGAAGAGGGTTTGCATGGCAACTCCCAGTACATTTCTCTTCAACTCCCTGAAATCTATAGTTATTTCAAAATAAAAAGTTAAAAATAAAAAATCTCAGCCAAGGAAACCCTCAGGCCCTGCCCCACTTACGCATTGAGTGTGGCAACAAGGCAGACACACGTGCCTTCCCGAGTCCGGAAATTCTTGTGCTTGAAGCCTCCCAGCATTCGGTCCCACACGTACTGCAGATGGCAAAGGACAGGTGAAAAGAGAACAGGAGACTTCTGCAGCCTTTCGATTAATATGGGGCCAAAAAAGGAGGGACCTCTCAACAGGTGCCAAGTTAGTTCCCACTGAAACCAACCCACTTAGTCATCTTAAGAGCATATTGACAAATGCTGACTTATATTTGTGTATCAAGTTACATTTTTTCAGAACACACTGCTTTACATAATTGCATTTAATTTTCCCAAAACAACCCCCAAAGGAGGTATAGTTGGCCCCATTTCATGGGTGAGAGGAGGGAGGCTGAAAAGGGTTGAGTGACTTCAAAGAGCAAACACTCATATTGCTCTCCCAGCCTAGAACACTGTCTACACCCACAAGTCAAATATCTGCTCATCCATGAAAGCCAGTCTAGTTTTTACCTTCCCTAGGAAGAATTTTTCTGATAACATCCCCCTCCCTAACAATGCTCAGCTGGACCCTGGAAGGCAGGGCTGTGTCCCTCTGTCCCAGCAGCCCCAGCTCACTAACAGACAGAGACAAAGGCTCCAGTCAGGCTTCCTAACACCCAAGACACCATAACTTTGCAGAGAAATATAGAAATGTTACATAAATGAGCTCAAGTCTATGGATGAAACCAAGCACTGAAAACCCATGTTAAGTCCACCAATTTATGCAAAACACACCCTTTGTTATTTATTATTTATCTAAATATCGGGAAGAGGGATGAATAAAAGCTATGAAAATTTTCATCTGAAATACATCAGATTAAAAAAAATAGTCTTTCTGCCCTGGCCGGTCTGGCTCAGCAGTTAGAGCATCGGCCCGAAGACCAAAGGGTCTTGGGTTCAATTCCAGGTCAAGGGCACATGCCTGGGTTGCAGGTTCAATCCCGGCCCCAGTTGGGGTCATGCAGGAGACAACCAATTGATGTGTCTCTCTCACATCGATGTTTCTCACTCTTCTTCCCTCCCTTCTACTCTTATCTAAAAACCAATGAAAAAATATATTAGGTGAGGATTAACAAAAAGAAAAAAAGAAAGTCTTTCTATATGGAGTAACTCACTGATGTTAGAGTACCTCACACATGCCAGCAGGCCGTAGAACGCCTCCCTTGCCCTACCTGGGGATTAGCAGCTTGATCCATGATCTTTAGCAGCAGAGTCTGGTCTTGATCCCTCACAGAGTCTTTAGCATCTCCCAGTCTGTCTATTAAACTTGGCAGCACTGGAAATCAAAATGCAAACTGATTAAATGAACACCTGTTGGGAGGCAGGGGTGCAGTGTGGTCGTCAACTGTTGATATTTCAATTAACTGGGAAGACAAAATCCTGGCCTAAATGAGGTCCATTATCTAAAAGCACCAATCCTGTGCAGCCAGTGTGGCTCAGTGGTTGAGCATCCACCCATGCCCAGGTTGTGGGCCCAATCCCAGTGGGGGGCATGCAGGAGGCAGCCAATCGATGTTCTCTCTCATTGATGTTTCTCTCTCTCTCTCTAAAATCAATAAAAAATATTTAAAAATATACAAATAAAACCACCTATCCCCAGAATTCTACTCTCCTTGTTAAAATCCATGGGAACTACTTTAAGAATTCGCAAAATCCTTTTTGCATGGGCATAATATGTGTCTCCTCCTTTACTGCACTCCCCTCCAGCCAGCTCCCAACATATTTCTATGCTGGTGAAATAGGAAAAGGATGTCAGGAAGACCTCGGCAGGAAAGAATCAATACCAAAGAACATTTAGGTAAGAGAGGGGCCCCAGCATATTTGCTCGGGGGGAGAAGGAGCAGGCCCAGTCTACTGTCTGTCCCTGTGTGTTTTAACTTCACACAGCAGCATGCGTGCTGTCAGAGTCCAGCTCTCCCACTCCTCCTCCACACGCCTGGGTGTGGGCCCCTTAGCGCTCCAAAGGCACTTGCATCCAGAGGTCAGATTCTTCTGAGAGTCTATGAACCTTTCTTTTACAAGAGGGTATTCCTAACAATTCAGCTACTTTAAGAGAAAAATGAAACACTGTTAAAATGTCGAATTTCTTAAAGTGAAGGGGATTTTTATTTGCAAATGGACAGTTTGTTCCAGAATGGGAAAAGGGTTCTTGACCTTATCCAAAGGAGCACACTAACCAGAAAGTTAACAGGAAATAACAAATACATGACATGAAAGTAGGGAACAGACTGACAAACCTCAGAGGGAAGGGGGTTGAGGGGTTGGGGAGCAGGAAGAGATAAACGAAAGAACTTACATGCATATATGCATAACCCATGGACACAGACTACAGTGTAGGGGAGGAGCATATAAAAGACAAAATTAATTAATTTCAAAAGAACGTAACAAAAACACGTGTACCAACTGAAACAGAGGCATCTGTAAGGAAATACTTGCACACACAGATCTGCTTAGGACTCATGTTGTCATGACAAAATCCCAGAGGTTGGGAACTCGGAGATGACATCTCCAGATCTATGAAATCTGTGGCTATTTTTATTTCATTTTATTGACATGTTTTCCTTTCAAAATAAGAGTGACCATTTACTACACACTTGCAATGACATTTACAATAGAAATGAAAGCGGTAATACCGATAACAATCCCCTGGAGAAAACAGCACTGCATGGGATTTGCAGGACTCCTCAGAGAGAAGACAATGCCTCTCAAAAGGAAGGGTCGGGGGCAGACGGCCTGGCCAGCGCTAAACGAGACGGCCGATTTGTGCGCCAGTGAAAGAATTAGCAGTGACACTCCCTGCTGGGGCACAGATGGGAAGCAGCCAACAGAAAGGTGCGGGGCGCCGTGGGGCTGCGCGGGGCGCCTGGAGGGAACGTGGGGCGCCTGGGGGAGGAACGTGGGGCGCCTGGGGGGAACGTGGGGCGCCTGGGGGGAACGTGGGGCGCCTGGGGGGAACGTGGGGCGCCTGGGGGGGAACGTGGGGCGCCTGGGGAGGAACGTGGGGCGCCTGGGGGGAACGTGGGGCGCCTGGGGAGGAACGTGGGGCGCCTGGGGGGAACGTGGGGCGCCTGGGGGGAACGCGGGCAGAGGAAGGGAGGCTCGGGCGGCCCAGCAGGAGGCTGAGGGCACTAGCCCGCGGTGAAGGGGGCGAGGGGGAGCAGGGTGCCGGCTGGGGGTGCTGGACACTGCGCACTGGAGGATGTGGGGAGCCGGAGGGAAGGCTGGAGGCCGGGGAGTCTGGGGCCCGCCCCGCACTTTCACACAGCTCACCTGTGCCAATCTGCGCCTTGAACCGATCCTGCAGCCGGGTGACCAGCGCGGACAGGATGTCCATGCCCAGAAGAGCCACCTGCAATAAATGGGAAACACCGGGACCCCGTTAGCTGCCGGCCTCCGGCCCAGGGTCAGCATCCAGCAGCTCCGGGGCGCCCCCACATTTCTGACTCAGGCGCTGACCCAGAGCCTGGAGAGCGCGTGCCAACTGGAAAATTAAATTGGCTATCAAGAGGGGGGTTGCTCCTGTACAACAGGAGTCGTTTACAGTTTTAAAAGGAAATGGTCGTTGAGGAAAAAGGAAATAAAAAGCCTCCACATCCCCGTCACATGCTGGGAGCTGGGAGATAGCTGTGGAGTGTGAGAGAAAACAACACATCCCGCCCCCTGTTAGCCCCGCCCTGACAGGGAGTGCATATGCAAATTACCTCGCTGCCCGCGTGTGGCCTTCTGGGTAAAACAGAGAGACCTTTTCGCTCCCTTGGAAGCCTCAGAAATCAAGGAGTTGGTGTTTTGCTTCGGGAGCTGTGCTCGGCTAAGAACACTAGCTAACGAGCGGCTAGGCTGGGACTTGCAAATTAGTCACCACAACCCCACCAGGTATTGGCCAGCCCTGCTTCCAGCGCAATCCAAAACCTATGCCAACCATCCTTTTCTTGGGGTTGCGCTACTGTCCAATGAACGTATAGTGAGGATAGTACTGCTAACGCCTAAACAACACATTCGCATCAGCTAGAGCTCTGCTTTATCTTGGTGCAATTTTTGGAAAACACACAAACCCATTTTCCACTTCACTGTGCCTTCTAGTAGTTCTGTTGTATTGTTAAGCAACCAGCAGATGGCACCCGAAGTTAGCCAGCACTAATTATCATAATATTCCTTCCACCTACTTTGCCTGTTACTTCGTTGCGTACAAAATTCCACTTGTGAATTATACGACATGGCGTGTTAGTTAGCACATTCTATTGTGCAAATGTACAACTTTTTTACCCACTCATTTGGCTACTGTAAATAATGCTGCAATTAACATAGGAGTGCCTGTATTCTTCCAAATCAGCCTTTCCGGTTTCTTAGAATAAATTCTCAGAAGTGGAATGGCTGGTGGGCATTTCAAATTTTAGTATCTATCAGTTGTACTTAATTTATTTTTTTTAATCCTCACCCGAGGACATTTTTCCATATTTTGTTCATATGGGGGGCGGGGGAGAGAAACATAGACATGAAAGGGACACATCGAGTGGTTGCCACTGCACAACCCAACCTGGGGGGACAAACGTGCCCTTAGCAGTAACCGAACCTGGGTCTCTCTGGACCACAGGCCGACACTCTAACCACGGAGCCAAACCGGCCAGGGCTATCAGTTGCACTTCCTTATAACTTAACCTGGTTCGTAGGCTGCATGTAGGTTTCAAAATATGCCAATAACCTGCTTCACAAATATACCTTTGTATTTCAACCTGATTAGACTATTGGGCCGTTTATGGAAAGATTCATCAGCATCATAAAACTGATGGCAATATAAACCCTGGATAGTCACAATCAGGCATATAACTTCCTTATTTTTTAATCCTCACCCAAAGACATTTTTCCATTTATCCTCAGAGAGGGAGGGATTGAGGGGTCAATCAACATTGACTTGAGAGGGACAAGTCAACTGGTTCCCTCCCACACGACCTGACCAGGGCTGGGGATGAATCACAACTGAGGTATGTGCCCTTGACTGAAATCGAACCTGCGACTCATTGGTCCAAGGGCCAACGCTCCAACCTCTGAACCAAAGGCAGCATATAACTTCTTTAGTAAATGCTTGTCTTTTGTCAAGCAAGCCCTAACCATTGTTTCTGTGCATCTAGGTTAACACATCTTTGAAATAACTGTAACTACCACCAAGAGAGCACATTATCTTTTTTTTTATCCTCACCCGAGGACATTTTTCCATTTTTTGTTAAGACAGAGTGAGAGAGAGAGAGAGGGAGAAACATCAGTGCGAAAGGGACACATCGAGTGGCTGCCACCCACACGACCAACCAGGGCCGGGGACAAACTGCAACCGAGGCACGAGCCCCCAGTGGGAACTGAACCCGGGTCTCTCTGGACCACAGGCCGACATTGTAACTGCTGAGCAAAACCGGCCAGGGTGCACATCATCTTGTTAACCGGAATAGTTCCTATCATCCTATCCCTGCCTTGCTTTCTCCTACCTCCAAGGAACCTTTTGTATGTCCCCTCCTGAATTCCAGATGCATAAAATAATTGCAGAACTGTCACTCTCCAGAGCCTTTGAGATCTTGCTCCCCAGCATATACTGTCAGTTTGGGCTGAAATAAAGTCATAAAAAATCTCTACAGGTTTGAACATTTCTTAAATTTACAAGAGCAAAATCAGTATTTCACACTCATCTAGTATTCTATTGTTTTTAAGGCACTTTTGGGTGAATCTAAGTAATCTTACAATAATCTGATATGTAAACTTTATTATCCTTATTTTGCAAATGAGGAAAATAAAGACCAAAGAGGTAAAGAGACTTACCCAAGTCAAGAAGTTCAGATTGTGACCAAACTGAAAACAAACCGAAGCCTCCTAAGTCAAGGCCATTTGCGGTATAACAAGAGCATAATATCACAGAACGCCACATGTATCATCTTTTTCCTCTCTTTCTAGCTTAAGAATTGAGCAAGACACAGTACTTCTCTGCCAATATTAGATGACCTCTCAGGTCAGTCTCAGCTCTAAACTTCTCTGGTGCTATGACACTGAGTACAGAAACAGGTGCAAGGGTTTTATCATCAAGATCTGGGGTGGAATCCCAGGTACCACCCCTGCTGGGCAACTGAGCTTCAAATGCTTTATCAATCAAATTGGAACAATAACACATTTACCTTAGAAAATACACATGAGGGTTAAGAGTTTTAACAAAATGCCTGGAATATAGTAGGTACTCAGGGCCAGTTCCCTCTTAAATAAAATAAAGGATGGCTTACTGAGGGACAATCAGAGTGGGCATAAATTCAAAGTTCACCCCAGACCCATCATCCATTGATAAGCCTGTTAATATTCTGCTGAATACCCCTCCAGATGTCCCTGTGCATGCACACGGTGCACAGGGCCTTTACATAAGTAGGCTTACTACATGTATATGTTATACACACATATAGTTCCTTCACTCAATATGCCATGGAATTCTTCCCAGATCAATAAATATAGATCTTTATCCCCATTTTCAGTGACTGTGATACCCTACTGAATCTAGGTATCATAATGATTGAACCAATTCTCAAAACTCCTCCTGTCATTCAGGTTTGGTTAAAACTTGTCATTATTTTCATTATTTTTTTGAGGATATTTTCCCACTGATTCTTTCAGATACAGTGGAAGGGAGGGAAAGAAAGAGAGAGAGAAACATCGATGTGAGGGAGACACATCAACTGGTTGCCTCCCGCAGGACCTGGTAAGGGTCCAAGAAATAAACCTGCAACCCAGGTACATGCCCTTAACCAGGAATTGAACCCACAACCCTTCAGTCTGCGGGCCAACGTTCTAACCACTGAACCAAACTGGCCAGGGCAAATTTTTCATTTTAAACAGTACTGTGATGGGTACACACTTCCATATATGTGCTATTATCTCCTCGAAACAAATTCTGAAAAGAGTAACTGGTGGGTCAAAAAGAATCCACTCTGTGTATTAGCACCAGTTTTAACATAATGCACTAGGTGCCCTATAGGGCTGCATGCTTTTGAGTTCTACAGATTTTTGGGCTGATTTAAAAGACTAAACTGCAACCTTATTAAACACAGAGGAAATTAATCAGCATTCCATACTGCACTCACTTTCAATCCCAAGAACAAGAGCACTACATAAACACCAAAAACTGTGACACAGGCAGCGACTGCGTAGTCACGCGTGGGAGGGGAGAGTTCTTCAAGCAGCCTCCGCCCAGGTGGACATGGACCCGACGTGGGCCTGCAGTGGGTCAGAGCGATCAGCGGTGAGGTGCTTCTTAGAAGCAGAGCCTGAGATGAGGTTCTTACCCAATATTCACCCAAACTTGTCTTTCAAAGTAGTCACCGAATGAGTCCTGGGACACATTTCTCAATAACAGTACTACTAGGCAGTCTACTTTTAAATCCCTGTTCTGGAATGGTTTCCAGAGATGGTTTATGAGGCACAGAAGTCTGTTAAAATATAGATAATTAATATTAGATTAAAGGGATTAACAAAGTTATAGGCTTGTTCCCTGCTGATGCCCATATACAAGGGTTTTACTTGGAGAAGAACTTAGGATCATCATACTATCAAACCACTTGGTTTCACATGTGAGCAGCAACAGGCCCAGTGAGGCTGGAAGGCAAGGTCTGAAGAGATAGAGGCAGTAGTAACTTCTGTTTAAAGATCTAGACCAAGCAACCTAAGTGTCCATCAACAGACAAATATGGGACGAACTGGGGTTGGGGGATAAAGGTGAAGGAGTGAAGAAGTACAAACGGCCTTTAATAAAAACAGTCACAGGGATGTAAAGTACAGCACAGAAAATATAGTTAACAATATTGTAATAATATGTATGGTGTCGGATGGGTAATTGGGGTGATGACTTCATATATTATATAAATGTCTAATCGCTATGTTGTACACCTGAAATTAATATAATATTGTGTGTCAACTGTAATGAAAAAAATTGTTTAAATTTTTAAGAGAATATTCAGGCCTCCTTTAAAACAGAAAAATTAAGAAAGGTCTGCCCTGGCCAGTTTGGCTCAGCGGTTAGAGCGTCAGCCTGCGGTCCGGAGAGACCTGGGTTCGGTTTCCGCTAAGGGCACGTACTTCGGTTGCAGTTTGTCCCCGGCCCTGGTTGGTCGTGCGGGTGGCAGCCACTCAATGTGTCCCTTCACGTCGATGTTTCTCACTCACTCTCCCTTCCTCACTCTCCCTCCCACTCTATCTGTACAAAAAATTGAAAAAATATCCTCGGGTGAGGATTAAAAAAAAAAAAACAAAAAGAAAGGTCTAGACTAGTTCCATACAGCTGTGAGCAATGACGGAAATATGTTGTGTCTGCACTGTCCAAGTCACCACGAG